CAGCCTGTCTGTGGTCTCCAGAGTCACGACACCAGCCTCTTGGCTGAAGTAAATACAGTCACGTATGTGTAGCCTGTGCAATTTATATGAGTGGATAAGGAAGAGTTTCTTTTCTTAAAAAGGGAATTAATGTGCTATTTCTGCATCTGAAAATTAAAGTGAGTCCTGTGCAACTTAAGTGTTTAATGAAACGATTTGATACCTTCCAGTCAGTACTGCAGAGTGGCACTGAATGTACCAGTGCGCCCAGCGTTCGGCCGGGTGGTTCACCGCTGCAGACGATTAGCCACACTACCTATAGAGGACTGAGCTGAAAGGGCCTTGGCCCGAGTCCGAGGTGGCAGCGAGTCCCTGCTGCGAATGTGGCTCATTCTGTTGGTAGCCGGGAGGCAGCACCTCAGGCAGGCTGTGGGGGCCAGGCCTTGAGGACAGGGCATAGGAACTCGCACTCGGATGCTGGGGCCTCCCCGGTCTAGATCGGTTCTATTTCGGGCCTGGTTTCTAATTTTAAGAGTTGAAAAAATGCTGAATGTCTTTGCAAAATCACTCTCAATGTCTTTAGTCGTGTTATTCATACGAGATGCTAATGTTAACGTGAGGAACCATTATAATTTACAAAATTCTTTTAAATATAGTGGTGAGCGAAAGATTGCAATTACACGGTGAGAATCGGTCGGCTTTCAGGATGTCCCTGTACCCTCCACCGTCTGTGTTAAAGAAAAGCGGACCAGTGGAGGGCTCTTGTCTTCTCACGCGTGGTGTGGGTTGGTGGCAGCACGTGGGACTTACCTAAAATGCATCGCTCAGGAAAAGACTTATTTATGGGCCTAGTTATTTAAATTTGCAAATGCCATAGAGGGCAAACAGCCACCAATAGTCTATTTCAAATGTAGAAATAACTTGTTCCATTCCCAATACAAAACTGAGAACTTTAGAAATGGTAACATACACGTAATTCTTTTGCATCTGAAAGCCAAACCCCTGTGTGAGATTAGAAACAGCACGATGATGAGCAAGACGTTCCGACACAGGGTGGCGGGCGCGCCTGGGGATCCGTGGTGGGTTGTGAGTTTTCAGATGCAGGTGTGTGCAGGCGTGTGTGCACGTGCATCTGCGTGTGCAGTGCGTGCGCTGTGGGTAAGTGTGTGCGCGCACATCTGTATGTGTGTGTGTGCGTCTGTGTGTGCGGTGCACGCACTGTGGGTGTGTGTGCGTGTGTGTGTGTGCGCGTCTGTGTGTGCGGTGCACGCACTGTGGGTGTGTGTGTGTGCGTCTGTGTGGTGCACGCACTGTGGGTGTGTGTGCGTGTGTGTGTGCGCGTGTGTGTGCGCGTCTGTGTGTGCGGTGCATGCACTGTGGGTGTGTGGGTGTGTGTGCGTCTGTGTGTGCAGTGCACGCACTGTGTGTGTGTGTGTGTGCGTCTGTGTGCGGTGCACGCACTGTGGGTGTGTGTGCGTGTGTGTGTGTGTGCGTCTGTGTGTGCGGTGCACGCACTGTGTGTGTGTGCGTGTGTGTGTGTGCGCGCGTCTGTGTGTGCGGTGCACGCACTGTGTGTGTGTGTGTGTGCGCGTCTGTGTGTGCGGTGCACGCACTGTGGGTGTGTGTGTGTGTGTGTGTGTGTGTGTGTGTGCTTGCTTCGAAGGCGGCTCTGATGGACA